AACATTCTGACAACGTTCAGGTGACAAGTTAAGTTATCCTAAACGTTTTCTCGACGGAGATCCGACCTTGTGAGATTTAACTAAGCAGTAGGCAGTTTTTCAGTTAAATTGGAAACGTTTCCGCGAAGTCACCTTTTCAACTAACTTTTTTTCAAATACAACCTCAAAATAAAAAAAGTCGTTCAAAACCATCAGACCATCAAATTAAAAATGAAACTAGCCTTGAGCCTACAGATAAACTGCCTCATATTGACAAAAAAAAAATTATGTCATGAAGAAAATTCAGGGGAACAAGCCTACATGAAGACTAGAACTTAAGTTTAAATTCTTCAGGAACACATGCCAACCCGAGGGCGAATCTGAATGAAGAATTAATATTAGTACCTAGCAACTAATTTTCCAGAGAAACAATAGTTGATGCAGGATAAGCAACTCGATCATGAGAAATGGCTTAATCAAATGGAATCGAGGAAATAACTCAATAATGAAGAGGAGATCAATCTAGACTAGACTAGAGGAAAAAATAATAATAATAATACGGCAACTGAATGGCACGGGGAGGCACGTAGGTAGAGTGTTCATAAGTTGAACTCAGTTCAGTTTTTGGTCCAATAAGCAACTCCAGTCACGTTTTGGGAAAAAAGTTAGTTTTCTGGCAGACTAACGTTGAAAGTTAGTATATTTTTTAGTTATCTGATATCCAAAGTCGCATTGACGCCTATTATACTCCTTCGCCATGTTGAAAGTGTATTTTGTTTGGAAACATGGTCCCGGCCATTGAACTTTGGTGCATTAACAGGTATAAACAAAGGATTGTAAAGCCTTTTTTAGTTTTCTAGGAACTATTCATATGCCTCCCGCTTAGCTCGCGTTTGAAGCGATATCAACTTCAAATATTGGTTGTCTAATTTTTTTTTCAATTTTTATTTTTATTTTTGAGTTTTGAGAAATTTGCAACGGATTGGAGGCGCGCGTGTTTTCTGGCATAAATCCATAGTTCATTTACCAGTAAAGTGATACGCGTTGCTGATTTCTGCTTGTGTATCGTCTTTTTTCGGCAATATAAATAAGATATTTGAAGTATAAGAATAACACATTTAGATACGGTACTAAGTTGAAAGAAAGTGTCCATTTTGACCATCAGTGAATATTTGGTTGAAAAATTTACTATTTCCTAAACACAACAAAAAGTAAACCCTCATCGCCATGAGAGAGGGCGCAGGTGTGTAGTTGTTTAATAAGTAAATTCAGCAACGTTTAGGCAACGACCAACTGCTACCTACAGTTGTAACTTTAACGTTTCAAAAACCCAGAAATGATTGACCAAATTGGTGCAAAACAAGGTTGTGACAACATTGTAACAAGGTCCTTTACGCAACTTCTGTTTGGTTGCGCAACTTTTTCAAACACGTCGCCGCAACGTTAAATTGCTGCTTGGGTAAGGTTTCAGATTTTTAGTTAGGCAGAGTGACTTAAAATGCCGAGAGTGAGTTAAAATGTTTTTAAATCACTGAGGTGATAAACGTCTACTTACCTTTATTGTTATGCGTTCAATAATGTCATTTTTAAACGTCAAAATGGAATAAAAATTTAAAAGGTAAAAAAAAAAAACTAAAAAATTGAAAATATGGCGGATCGTTTTAAAGAGCTTATTTGCTCAAAATGTAATGCCGACTGTGTATTTAAGGATAGGCCAAATAAAAGCGAACTCTTTGGATCAACTTGCGACCGTTGCAAATTGGTATATTTATTGTAAAAAACATGCTGCTATTAGCACGTCCGAAGCACATACCTTAGCTTTAGTGGAAAGGAAATTATTTTTTATGGTGAAAATTGCAAGGTACGCCTAGGAAATATATGTAGCGATGAAAGTTTGGAAAAACTATACCAGGATAATGAAAAAACTTCAAGAAATTGTAAGATTGTTGGAAATTGATCAAGAGGAATTTAAGGTAGATCATACGAGACAAATCTATGAGTTGAACCAGATCATGAAGGGTAAAGATGATACTATAACAAGGATAAGAAGAAGAACTTTGGACTTTGAGGACGACGTATTTGCTTCCGAGAAACAATCTGAAAAGAAACTTCAAGACTGTAAGACCAAAATAATGAATCTGGAGGGGGACCTCAAATCCACCAAAGAAGAACTTCTAGACAAGCAAGAGAAAATGACAGAATCATTATTAAAATTGAAAAAAAGTGAAAAAGAAATCGCAAGGTTAACTAGAAAAGAATGCTTAAGGAGAACGCAAGACTTTGAAAACTCTGTTTCTTGTACTGAGCTTTTTGCTGAGAATAAAATTAAGACCTTGGAAAGAGAAAAAGTTGAAAATAACAAGGAAATTTCATCACTAAGCAAGAAATATGAAGAACTACAGGAAGAGAAACAATTATTCGAGGAAAGGCTAATCTGTCTGAGCAATGAGCTTGCAGATTTGAAGCACATTACTGCAAACATGAAAACAACCATAGAGACTCTAACAGAAGAAAACAATGTTTATGTGGTTGATCTGAAAAAAGCTAACCAAGAGCTCTTTGCTCTGAAAGATACCTCTCAAGCACAAGCCAAAGAATCTCCCATAGCTGTAATCGAACAGACCAAAGAAGGAATAAAATTGAAGAAGAATGTTCCAAGTTCTTTTATGACATCTGACAACAAATTATGCCTGGAGGATCCCACTGCGGAGCAGACTGATTCAATTTCACTTGAAGAAGAACTAAGGAATGCCAATCCTGAAACTAATAATTATGACTGTGCTAAAGTAAATGAACAAAAAAAGAATAAGATAGTGTTTTTAACAGATGATTATGGTAAGCATATGTACAACTATCTGAAGGATTTTTTTAGTGATGATTTTTATGTTCATATTATATGTAAACCATTTGCCAAATTCAATGATGTAGCATCTAGCAGCAATTGTCTTGTAACCGAGTTAACAATGTCGGATTTTGTAATAGTACTGGCTGGAGTGAATAATGATGATATTTCAATGAAAAATATATCGTCATTGGCAAACAAATGCTTCTTTACTAATTTACCCTTGTGTAATATACCTGTTAATATAGAATCTAGCGAGGTTTATAGGTTTTATCTTGTAAAAAATAAGATTTCTAACAGTGCTTTAAGTTTTGGATTCTACTCAAATAATGTTAAGTATCTGAATTTGCAAAATGAATTTGACCAAAGATGCTATTTCAGAAACAGTATTTATCTGAATCGCAGGTGCAGGCGGTTATTAGCAAATTTAATATTTAAAAAAATTATAAACTTCTTTGTACCTGACAGATTAAGAACTTTATTACAGGTCAAGGTTGACGATTGTGGGTTTTTTCCTGAGTATCCAGGGGAGGCGGATCTTCTGGACTCTGAGCCTCTTTTGTTGGAAGACCAGGCTCATCTCTCGAGGCACGAATGTGAAATAATTTTTTTAGACAAGCAGCCCCGGCCACTTGTAATACCCAGGAAGGACTGTCGTTTTTAATTTTGAATATTCACTCAATTCGTGGTAAGGTGGATGAATTTTCTGCATTTTTGGAGTGTTATGAAAATCCTGTGTATTTACAGACCTCCTAGTAGGGCAATTGGTGAATTTCTGAGTAGGCTGGAGATGTTGCTCTCTCTCTTGCATGGTTCAGACATTTTATTGGCGGGAGATCTTAATATAGATTACTTAGATAATAATTCATTGCAGACACAAAATTTAATCGATTTGCTTTTGTCTTTAAACTTAAAAATGTTGATCAAAAATCCTACCTGTATTACTGAAGGTTCAAGTACCATAATTGATTATTTTTGTGTAAATTTTTGGGACAAGCACCTCTGTGAGGCAATGGTTGTACCTTCGGGATTATCGGATCATGAAGCAATTTTAGCAAACATAACTTTAAGGACAAGAAAAACTAAAAACATTACAATGGGACGAAACAATAACAGGTCCAATTTTCATAAATTTAGAAAGGATTGTCAAAGAATAGATTGGAATAAAATAGAGGCATTGTCAGACCCACTTGATCTTTTTAGCATGGAAATAACTAATTTATTCAACAAACATTTCCCATTAAAAACAATAAAACAAAAAAGTAAAAAACCTTGGGTTACCAAGGGCATAAAAACCTCGTCTAGGAACTTAAGATTTTTATATCCTACTGAACTATTATAACCATTTAATACTTTGGTTACGATAATCATAAACAGGGTCTTAACTCCCAAGGGAGTTAAGGATTTCCATAACTCTCGCGCGGGAGTTAAAGATATCATAACTCCCAAGGGAGTTAAGGATTTTCATAACACCCGCTTTTACCTTGAATAGGTACAACTTTGAGAAAAAATAAAAACTTTAATTTATGGTTCATTCCTTTATAAAAATAGACAGAATACAGTAAATTCAGTAGGATATAAAATTATCTATGTACCACGGGAATTATCAAGTGTTAATACCCACGGGCAATTGGTGTCCCTCGGGCCTCCCTGGGGTATTAAGACCCTCATAATTCCCTTGATACATAAATAACTATTGAACACTCTTAAAAAAAAACTTCCCTACAGACTGAAAAATTATTATAATGAATATATATAGAAGAGTATACAGGAAAGTGATACAAAGAGCTAAAAAAAATTTTTACGCTAACAAAATTAATAATGCGAAGAGCAAGAGTAAAGAAATTTGGAATATTGTTAACAGTTTGAGAGGCAGTAATGTAAAGCCTGCTTGTGAGACCGAAATAGATTCTAACACATTTATTAATTTATATTGCTCAGTGGCAGAAAACTTAATGTCTGGGCTGTCATCGGATATAGATCCTATATGAGCTATCCAAATTCTTTTGGCTTATAACACACGGATGTTGGTGAGATAAAAACTATATTTAGGCAAATAAGAACCAGAAATTTATCGGGGATAAATGACCTGTCATTAAGGATATTTAACAACTTGCCCGACTGTGTGCTGGAGTTACTTGCTAAGTTTAAAAATTTATCTTTTGATATGGGTAAATACCTTTCCCGAGAGTCTGAAGACCCCTCTAGTAAGACCAATTTTCAAGGGCGGTAGCACCGACGATCCATCATGTTACCGCCCTATATCTCTGCTGCCAACACTCTCCAAGATAATAGAAAAACTTGTTAAGTCTAGGATGGTCTCTTTTCTTCGGGCTCACGGGTTGCTGCACTGAGAAAATTCCCAGCAAAGAATTATTTCCAAAACTTTTTTTGGCTAAGACAGGCAGAATTTTCTCGGTACCTATAAAAATACTTTTTTGGGCCAGTAAAGTTAACTTTTCAGTCACAGCTTTACTAAAAATGGATAATACGGTCATGAAATAGAATAGTTTATTTCTTATTCCAGAAATTACTTTTTTTACCAAGCATCTATCTGCTTCTTCAGAAATGTATTTTTCTAAAATGAATAAGTGCTTTGCTATCACTGGTAAAAATTATTTGTAAATTATTTTTTCCAAGAATGGCAAAGTATTTTACTACAATAGAAAAGAACATATGTGATTCAGGAGAGTACTTGTCTATAGACTTCAGATCGACTATTCTCGGAGCTCTTCGTTCCGCCGTTTCGCCAATCCTGGCGAAGCGTGTCCATCTCCATCTTTTCTTTTCGCATTTCCGAGTGTGCATTCATAGACGACGGAACTGTGGGAAGGTCTCGGTGTTGGCTCTTCTGTGCTCAATCTGGCAGACGCCGTTTGGTCACCAACTTGATTTTTTTTTTTAAATACGGTACATAGTTCTAATAATAATTATTTATTGTAACAACAAAAATATTTCTTTCCTGCAACTGAAATTATTTCTACTGGCGATTTTACCACCTCGTATAACCAACCCAATGGTTTTTTCCTGTAGTTTCAAGCTTCAAAAAACTATAGGTTTAACTTATGAAGAGCTGGATTTTCCTAGGAAATTTGCAGGCTTTTAATTCTTGTTTAAGCTTTAAGCTGAAGGCCAATAAAATCCAAAAGGTTGGTTATATGAAATAAAATCTTTAGTGCAGCTAGATCAATCGTCGGTTAAGTCCATTAGTTAATAAATTATCCTTAGAATGTGCCACACAAAAACAATCTCATATTGACATCCACACAATCTAAGGTTTTGTTAACTAACAAGGACTTAACAAGCGATTGATCCAGCCGCACTAAGTAGAAACAAAAAAAAAACTGCTGGAAAGACATATTTCTGTGGTAGCATAAATACTTGCTAGAACTATAAATAATTCGCCTGTAGGTGGATAATATTCTTCCCATTGTAAGAAAAAATATCTGAAATAAAAATAAGTCCTTTTCATAGTAGAAAAGAATATAAGTAACATATAAAGTACTTTACTTACATATAATAGTAAACAGCTGGCCCATTTCTGTGAAGTGATTCTGCTGTTTTACAAAAGAAGCTTTCCTGGTTTAGAAAAGAAAGTTTATAAAAATACTTTACTACTACTATAATTAGTGATGTAAAATTCCCGAAACATTCAAAAGCCGCGAATATTCTCGGAAACTTTCCGGGAATATTGGAAACTTTCGGAAACTTATGGAAATATTGTTTTTCTCCGAATGACAGTAAAAGCGGCCTTTTAATGACACTTGACAGGATCAAAAGTTGTATTTTTACTGCATTAAAAATGACAGTGTCACAACGTTCCAGGTAAGAATTTCACTCAATTTGCTATTTGAAATTGATGGTGACAATGACAATTGTCAAAATAAATTAATTATTTGGATAATAATAATGAATGAAATAAATATAAAAAAGATGTCTATGTGTGAATTTGAACATTCGGAAAAAAAATTATATGTTTTACATGGCAGAAAAGCAGATTTAAAGCCTTGGCTGGTTTCCTAGCCTCGGCTATCTTGTACTTTTCTGCCTAGTAAAACAAATAACTATTTTTTAAAATTTATAGCTAAATCAGACAAATCGTAGTAAGCTTTATTTACCTATTATTATAGTGTACTGACTATAGACTATAAACTAAGGAAAACACCTATTTTTTTCTGTAAGATCAGCTAAAAATTAAACTATGTAGTGAAGACACTTTTATGAGCTGCGTCAAGTTAGCCCCCCCACATTCGAATTTTCTAAAAAAATTGCAACCACTTACTGTGCTCGAAGTGTGCTTTACTGTGCCGATGATATTTTGAACTGTGCCGTTTCGATAACAAAGTTATAGCAAAAAATAGATGAGGGGCTAACTTGACGCTCAGCCCCCCCAGAATTTTGGAAATCGGATGAAACCAAAAAGGATTCTTATCCAATCTGAAATGTGCTGAACTGTGCCGTATCAGGTTTTTCTCAAAATTTCCATATTCGGTCATTTTCCGACAAAATCCTACTGGGGGGCTAACTTGACGCTCGGCCCCCCCAAAATTTTGGAAATCAGATTAAACAGAATCGCATTCTTATCCAATCTACAGTGTGCTGAACTGTGCTGTATCAGGTTTTTCTGAAAATTTCCATATTCGGTCATTATCCGACAAAATTCTACTGGGGGACTAACTTGACGCTCAGCCCCCCCAAAATTTTGGAAATCAGATTAAACAAAATTGAATTCTTATTCAATCTGAAGTGTGCTGAACTGTGCTGAATCAGGTTTTTCCGAAAATTTCCATATTCGGTCATTTTCCGACAAAATCCTACTGGGGGGCTAACTTGACGCTCAGCCCCCCCAAAATTTCGAAAATCAGTTTGCACAAAATTGAATTCTCATTCAATCTGGAGTGTGCTGAACTGTGCTGTACCAGGTTTTTCTCGAAATTTCCATACTCGGTCATTTTCCGACAAAAAAGTAAGAGGGAGCTAAGTTGATGCCAAATTTTAGAAATCAGATCAAAGAAAAACGGACTCTTATTCTTATTAAATCTGAAGTGAGCTGAATTGTGCCTGATCAGGTTATTCCAAGTTTCCATGTTTGGCCTTTTCCCGATATAAACCTAATGGATGGTATGTATGTAAATTCTCAGAGCTAAACGTCAAGTTAGCTAGTAGGATTTTGTCGGAAAATAACCGAATAAGTATGTAAATTTTGAGAAACCCGATACAGCAGAGTTCAGTTCACTTCAGATTGGATAAGAATACAATTTTGTTCAAACTGATTTTCGAAATTTTTGAGGGGCTGAGCGTCAAGTTACCTCTCCAGTAGGATTTTGTCGGAAAATGACCGAATATGGAAATTTTGAGAAAAACCTGATACGGCACAGTTCAGCACACTTCAGATTGTATAAGAATCCTTTCTGGTTTCATCTGATTTCCAAAATTTTGGGGGGGCTGAGCGTCAAGTTAGCCCCCCAGTAGGATTTTGTCGGAAAATGACCGAATATGGAAATTTTGAGAAAAGCCTGATACACCACAGTCCAGCACACTTCAGATTGGAAAATAATTAAATTTTGTTTAATCTGATTTTCAAAATTTTGGGGGGTTGAGCTTTAAATTGGCTCCCCGCTCCCCAGTATGATTATTTTGTCGGAAAATAACCGAATATGAAAATTTTGAGAAAAACCTGATTCAGCACAGTTCAGCACACTTCAGATTGTATAAGAATTCAATTTTGTTTAATCTTATTTCCAAAATTTTGGGGGGGCTGAGAGTCAAGTTAGCCCCCCAGTAGGATTTTGTCGGAAAATGACCGAATATGGAAATTTTGAGAAAAACCTGATACGGCAAAGTTCAGCACACTTCAGATTGGATAAGAATCCTTTTTGGTTTCATCTGATTTCCAAAATTTTGGGGGGGCTGAGCGTCAAGTTAGCCCCCCAGTAGGATTTTGTCGGAAAATGACCGAATATGGAAATTTTGAGAAAAACCTGATACAGCACAGTTCAGCACACTGTAGATTGGATAAGAATTCAATTCTGTTTAATCTGATTTCCAAAATTTTGGGGGGGCTGAGCGTCAAGTTAGCCTCTCATCTATTTTATGCTATAACTTTGTTATCGAAACGGCACAGTTCAAAATATCATCGGCACAGTAAAGCACACTTCGAGCACAGTAAGTGGTTGCAATTTTTTTAGAAAATTCGAATGTGGGGGGGCTAACTTGACGGAGCCACTTTTATGGACGGTTGAATAAGGCTTTAAAGGAAAAGCTGATCCGATTTACCCAATCTCTCAGCTCTTTATTTTTTATCTTTCTTCAATGAAGATTATTAAAAAAAAAGGTAGGCTGTAGGTACATCAGCTGGTGATCGGGTAAATCGGATCAGCGTTTCTGTAAAGATAGTTGGACTGGGCTACGTTAGCCATATAAAGTGAAATGACGTCACTTAGACCTTGTATTCGCAATAATCTCATATTTTTATAAAATTCTTCTGGAAAGTTCTTGGAAATATTCTCGAAAGTTCTCGGAAATATTCTTTTGAGAGGTTTTGATTGAAAGTTTCCGGGAATATTCTCATTCGGGAGAACATTTCCATTTTTTATCGGCGAATATTCTCGGAAATTTCCCAATGTTCGCGAATATTCGCATCATACTCGACTCACGTCACTAATAGACCGTGAGATAGGGCCTGTTTAGTGGAGTCGTTTTTTTTTGTCTGGCATTTTGAGGGATGAATGTGGCTAGTTAGCTGATGAGAATATAGGTGGTTTTAGTGCTTGCCACCTGTTCGAAATGTCAACAGAATGTTTCGCCGGAAAACTCGACTTCGAACTGGGATTACCGTCTGGCGATTTTTCAGCGATATTTGCACAACAAAACCTTTCATTCTCTCGATTACCAGACAAAAAGTAAACGCGGAAGATTCTTTTCTTTTCTCTTAGAAGTTGACACTCATCCCCACTTTTTCAGCTATTGAAAAGCATCTAGTATTTTTTATGGGTCAATTATTTATCGATGTCAATCTTTTATTTAGAAGCCAAAAAATTTGGGATCATTAAAAAAAAATTCCTCATGTAAATCAATTTTTTTCTTCTGCAAATTTTCGAACGGGAGGCAGGCATTAAAACCACCCATATTCTCATCAGCTTAGTAGCCAGATTCAGCCCTCAAAATGCCAGACAAAAAAAAATGACTCCACTAAACAGGCCCTATCTCACAGTCTATAACTATAATAAAGAGAATGCAGCAAAGTGAACTTTACTGCAGTAGCATATTTCTTTCTTAACGCCTATTTTAATAGATTTTTCAGCTAGAGTAGCGGAAAAACTTACTGTGGCGATGAAAAAATTTTCTCAGTGTACCCCGAATGTAATTTTCTGGAGCGCAGTTGCGGAAATTCGGCTATCGCAGATCTATCCTTGTGATTTACAAAGTACATCGCATGAGAGGTTTAACGTCCCCAATTTTACGTAACTTTACATCACTGGTATGTGTCTGTGCTGGCTGGGTTGGTACATGGATACCTTGAAAATGACTCCTTTTTCATGTTGTGATAAACAGGGTGTTCCATTAAAAATAGTGGAGAATTTCTATGTTGAGAAACGGATTTTTTTTTACTCGCCCTGTATAAGGGCACACCTGGTTCAAAAGTTATAAGCATTTAAAATGGGTTACTCTCCGTGAATTCCATTGGTTGAAACTAGTTTTCTGACTGTTTTCAACCAATGAGATTCGCTGTGACTGGTTTGTGATTTCTGGAGAAACAGACCTATTAGGCGGTTACACACAGACGTGGATGTCTTGATACATATACGTGCATACATCAACGTGCAAACAACAACGTGCATGCACTGATCTAAAAAATTAATGGATAAACAATCATACGGCTTGATTGGCAAAATTTGTGCGAAAATTTGGGGTCAATATTCTACGAACAGGTGTGCAACGGAACATCAGCGTAACGCCTGCGCAGTGTCTTATCTTTGGAACAACTGTTCTAAGTTTTGAAATTTCTTCATTTTCATTGGTCAGATTTTGTGCACGCACAGTACATGT